GACGTGAGGATTATCTACAATGACATATGGATTTTATGAGTGTGGCTTCTTTTTTTGTAGAACTGTCGATCTATGGATGTTTTTTTTCTCTCAAAAATTAACATTTTATAATTCTTTGAAGTCTTTCCATGTGTTTTTGACATGAGGATGGAAATCAAGAAAATAATAATATTAATGGATTGCATTTTATATAGCGCTTTTTGGGGCCCTCAAAGCACTGTACAATTCCACTATTCATTCACTCTCACATTCAAGGGCAAGCTACAGTTGTAGCCACAGCTGCAGACGGGCAGACTGACAGAAGTGAGGCTGCCATATCACGCCATCGGCCCCTCTGGCCAACACCAGTAGGTGGTAGGTGAAGTGTCTTGCCCAAGGACACAGCGACCGAGAATGTCCGAGCCGGGGCTCGAACCGGCAACCTTCCGGTTGCAAGACGAACTGCCAACTCTTTGAGCCACGATCAAAGTTATTCATATAAGTTACATAAATAAAAAGGCTAAAATATCTTACCACCATGCTTCTTTGTAATCGCAGACCGTAAGAGACGAGTTGAAGGTACTGAAGTCCCATGTCAACATTACAGTCTGTGCTGAAGGTTAATCCATAAGTTACAGTAGTTGTTAATTCTCGATCAACAAATCCATCAAGTATTTGTAGAGAATGTGATTATTCAGTGATACCAAGACGTGATACCATCAGTAAAGTTCACAAGGTAACTGCAGAACTCGACAAACATAACTGATCTGAAGTCTGCTGGCAGAGAAGTAGCTTTATCTCTGTGGAAGTCATAAAGTTGGTTGTTGGTTGGTTTGAAGCCCAGTCCTGACTTTGTCCTCTTTCTTTCAGACACAGTGCAATTTGATGTTGCATTTATCAAATTGGAAATTAGTATAGTACACCAAAAGCAGAACAAAGGTTCATTTCCTGCAGTGGAAAGTGCCGTCTGCTTCAGATCTCTGTTTGGTTTTGAATATGAGAAAAAGGGCACTGCGTGGCTTTGTTGGCTTTGTGGGCTGTAGGCTGTTTGAATATGCCCTACATGCTTGTTGCTAACTTTGTCAAGAATGGTCTGTGAGTCAGAAATGAACATGTAGAGTTTAAGGAGTTTTAAGCAAAGAATGATTGAAAAAATTAAATTAAACGGCCATGTATTTTATTGCCTAGACGGTTCAATTCGATCAGAGGGTTCATTCGGAGGGAAAGGAACCTTAAAGAGACAGAATCTTCTTTGCATGATGGAGCTTTTACCTGCGTCAGTGCATGGGACGATGAGTTGTGTTGACAGACAGTGATTTCTGGAAGTGCTCCTGAACCCATGCATCGATTTCCATGACAGAATCATCTCTGTTTTTAATGCAGTGTCGCCCAAGGGACCACACATTTTCAGCCTTTTCTCTTGCACACAGAGATTTCTCCACCTGCACCTGTCACAGACAAAAACAGACTTTAGACTCACCACCGATGAGACTGAGCCTCATAATTCAGTGTTTTGTGTAATAAAGTGATGGTGGCTGCTGCAAACAGAGCTTGGCTTTTTCCGTATGAAAGCTGCATCAGGAGATTAGACCAGCTGACCTCAAACACCGGATGCCTGAATAAAGCGGCAGCAGAAGCTAATTTTCTTTTGCAGGCCTGCCAAATTGCTTTTTTTTTTTTAATGAAAATTGACTCAGATGGAGCAGATGTCTGTCTGTCTGTCTGTCTGTGAGCTTGAAAGAATCACTTTAGTTTAAAGAGTCCATTGGGAGTCATTGAAGTGAAACATTTTTGACTGAGCTTCAGAATCACAAGAGGGCAGCAGACTGACAGCACACTAACAAACACTAAGTTGGCATCAAAGTCAGATTAAAAAAAGAGCAAAATCTGTTTTTATTTTTCCTTCACAGTCGGACACAGACTCCTAATGTGTTGGTCAGTGTGATTGGTAATGTGTGTAAATAATTACACTTAACTTCAGTGCACCTGAACTTCTGTTTGATGGTGGCTGAAATACTAAAAACCACAATGCAGCATTATTTGAAACCCCTGTCCTTCTTCTGGTTGGCTTCACGGAGGCTTGTAGCCTGTAGGATGGTCTGTCAGATGATTTGATTATGACATTTAGCCTAGTCTTTTTAAAAAGCTAAACATTTAAGATACTGTACTGATGGGAGGATTGCACACCAACTTTTCTGGTGACACCACCACAAGGTTCACAGTTGTGGCTTGGATATAGTTGTAGTTTAAAAGTAATCAAGAACTTTTGAATCAATTGCAGTAAAATTTGGATTCAAATATATTTTTTCTTCAGGATAAAGCCAGACTTTTTATCTATAGTTAACCTTAAAATTTAGGATCATGTCAAACTGCTGGCATTAACTTTGACATTAAACTTGAATTTAAACAGACATAACATTTCAATGACCACTGGCAGGTTAACACAGATCCTCTCTTCATCATGTTCCTGGGTGGGATATATTAGAGAGCAAATAAGCATTTTATGTTAGAAGAAGTGTTAAATGCAGTAAATGTAGGCAAATGTAAGGATTTGAGCAAGTGTGCAGCTCTTGTGGAGTGTTCCCAGTCTGCAAGGGTCAGCATCTGCCAAGCAGTCCAAGGAAGGAACAGTGGTGAACCAGCAACAGAGTCATAGTAGCCAAGGCTCACTGATGCATGTGGGGGAGTGAAGACTGGCCTGTGTGGTTTGACCCAACAGATGACCTGCTGTAGCTCAAACTGTTGAAAAATGTAATGCTTGTTCTGATACAACAGCATCAGAAGAGAAGGCAAGCTGGCAGAGGCAATGTGATTCTTTGGGCAGTCTTCTGCTATGAAAACTTGAGTTGTGCCATCCATGTGGATGTTACTTTAACATGTACTACCTACCTAAGCACTGTTGAAGACCATGTACACCCTTTGATAGAACAGGGATAATGCGCCCTGCCACAAAGCAAAAATGGTTCAGCAATGGTTCGAGGAGCACAATCATGAGCCTCCAACTCCAACTTCGTCTCAGTCCAGTCTAGCATTTGGGATGAGCTGGACCAACACGTCTGATTTATGGAGGCCCCATCTTGCAACTCATAGGTCTTAAAGGATCTGTTGCTAACATATTGGTGCAGATACCACTGCACATCTTCAGCAATCTAGTGGAGTCCATGCCTCAATTGGTCAGAGCTGTTTTGGCAGCAAACGGGAGACCAACAATAATAGCCAGTTGGTCATAATGTTATGCTGATTGATGTATAAGGGCAAGTAATACTTAAATGAGTGAAGCCAAAGCACTGAGAAACTCAGCACTTCAACCTAGATCTCGTAATGCCCCATGGCCCACTTTGGATTTGTGTACAGATGAGCATACAAGTGTTCGAGTCCATACTGCATGAATTAAAATGGATTTCATTAGAAGTCAGTCAATATGTTACACTGTGTTTTGGTGAAGGTGTGCAATGTTAAAGGGGGTAAAAAAAAGACAGAAGTGAAGCTGCTGTCACAGCTCTACAGGGAAAGAGCTGTGATTTTGCTTTTACCCACAGCTTGTCAGGAGCTGTGAGGCACAAAAAAAGAACCTCTTCTCAAGTACAAACTGCCATCTTCACCAAACAATAGATTCACTTTCGAAAGAGCAGATGATCATTTTAATCCCAGCAACAGTGATGAGTTGGAGTGTCTCTCGCACACACTTTGTCAGCATGTCATCCTGCAGTGGTTCAGAGGTCAGCAGCCTGACCACTGCATTTATAATTCTATTAGTTTTGACCACCAGCTAAGACCTGCTGACCTTCATCTTAAGTTCAGTTCCAGTGTGGCCATGGTTCAAGTCCAGATGCCACTCTGGGGTCCCATGTCAGGTCTTTGCTGAATTTTTCCTAGCAAAGGGGGTTGTTACTTTTGTTCTCCACTTGTCCAGTTTTCCCTATTTTGCACCGAAGGATAGGGATTTTTTGGCTAATAGCCCATTCAGGCTTCCCAGTGAGGATTACTTTGCTGGTATAAAATTACTATTTTACTCCACTCAAACTGTGTAATCTTTGGCATTTGTCATCAATTCAGCTAAAGAAATGGGGATATTTTTTTATGTTTTTGTTTATGTGACAGGCTATTAATAACAAACTACATATGCAACTTAAAATTCAATCTTTAATCAATTTTCTGTTAAGTGCAGACACAACACTGGTTCATTCCTTTTTTAATGCCTGCTTTCCTATAAAAATGTCGGGAAAAAAAGACCAAAAAGCCTGCAGAACTCTTACTCAGGAGCACTTTAAAAGTTGCAAAATGTCTGGCTCCCTGGACACAAAATATAAAGAAATGCGGGGGGCTTGAGTAAACAGTCTGAATGAATAAATATTGCTACATGTCCATAGAAAAATATGTAAATTTGATTTAGGGTGAACTGTCCTTTATAAATAAATGATGCAGCTGCTCCAACCCCTGTCCAATAATGAGCCCACACTGATCATTAGACTGTGTGAAATACTGGAATCCACCTGAAGCAGAACATTTAACATTCTTGTATTTTTTTTTTGCTTCCATCTACAGTCGATATTCTTGCTCACAGCTGTAAATCAATTTTTTTCTTGTTTTATATTTGAACCAAATCAACCAGACTCCATTGTTCTGTCTGGAGAGCAGAATATGAAGTCGACCTGATTCACTTATTTTGTCTGTAGATGTGACCCACCTAACACGGACCTGATTCCATTTGTTTTTTCGCAAATTTCGAAGAAAACATCTCTCAAATATAATTTTTCCTTTCTGCAGATATAAACTTAAACTCTCTCTGATTGTATTATTTCCCCTGAAGAGTTTAATATACACGCAGCGTTCTCCTGTTTGTATCTGTCAAATTTAATTTCCTTTTCTGTATAGATTTGAAAAAAAGTGGCTTAATTTCATTTTGTTCTCTGTAGAGCTGAGCATACACTAATTCCAATTTCCTTTCTCTGTATCTGTTTTTAGATCCATCTCAATTAAAATCAGCTTAATTCCATTTCTTCCTCTGTATTTGTCTTCAGATCCGTCTCTATGCTCGGCCAGATGCCATTTTGAGCGGAGCAGGGGACTACGCCCTTCACATTACTAAGAGGCTCCTCGGATTTTATCAGGACTACTTCAAAGTCCAGTACTCTCTGCCTAAACTAGGTAAGGCTGCTGACGTGCTGTCCTTCCTCTGACGTTATGTGGGCTCGTCTCCTTCATTGTCTTGCCAGGATCTGCTCAGTGTGCACCGCAGCTCTCTGACTGTGTGGAGATGAAGTAAAGTTGGGACGAAATACTTTGTTCTCCTGAAGTCTGATTTCCTGTCAGCTTTCATTAAATAAAAACCACACTGTGTACTTACCATCCCTCTGCCGATCCAAATTAGGAAAGGAAAAACAGATTCCACTTCCTGGGTGTCTCGTTTTAGGGAAGTCAGCCAACTCTTTGTCCTTTGTACAATTACTGTTAGGCTCATCAATTTTTACTCATATGGGGCAAAGAAAGCACACTGTCCTCCTTTTCCTTTTGTGTGTTGGGGGCTACAAAGAGAATAGGTCTGGGAATTGAACCTCAGCCAGTTCATGGCAGTTGTAGACATTAAGCACAGTCAGAGGGTATTTTTATTAAAGGAGAAAAGGGTTTGTCTTTACACGCATCAGAGTAAGATTTCAAAGTACTGAAGTTCAATGCCAACTTTGTCCCTTCATCCTTTATATTTTTAGACTCTGTTATATAACTGGTTGAATTACAGTAAAAGTGTAAAAAATGTGATTGCCTCACTACAGACATAAAATAGTTTAAATGCCCTGTAGTTAATTCTTTGAAGCTTCTGAATGGATTTGTATGGCAGTGACAGCTGACCTTGATGCACTGCAGCTCAGACATGAAACTAAACTACAGTGTTTAAAATGCAAGCTGTAAGTGGCAGTGAAAGGACTTCTATCAGCTTGCATGACAATTATTTTTATTATTTTTTTTGAATTGATTAACACTGTTTTGTCCTCCGTGTTTAGATTGCTAACAGCTAAATGAGTGGAATAATGTAACTGAAGCTGAACCTGAAGTTGAATCAAGTTTGAAAGAAGTTTTGAATGAGGTGGTAAGATGACTTAATGACTTCAATGAAATCAGCACATAATGGAACTGAAGATAAAGCTAAAGTTGGAAGAAGGTGAAGTGGTAACAGTCTTCTTGTTGTAGTTTTTTTGAGTCACTTAAAAGTCAACGTTTTGTAGTTTTTCTGTATAAATTACTCAGGGGTTGAAGTGGCATCCTAACATTGAGAGTAGCTCTGATTAGTTGCCATGTGTTTGTTAGCTAGTCGAATATAAAAAGATATAACCAGACATTACAGAAGCTATCAGGATTTCTTTTTTTTTTTTTTTTTTTTTTTTTTTTGGCCTGTCCCGTTTGGCTCTTTTGCCATCAGAATTGTTGTCTAAAGGCAAAGAAAGATGCCCAACGGATTTACTTTACCAAACTGACCATCCCAGCCTTGCCGTAATGGTCCATTTGATTCACCTTTTATTGTTTATTTTATTTTCACTTACTGAATACGGGACAGACTTGACTGGGGGAAAGAAGGGGAGAAAGAAAGAGGGAAAGAGAAACAGCTGAGAAGAGGGACGGGGGAGAAGGGCAAAAAACAAAAACCAACAGAACGGGCAGAGAAAAAAAAATGCATATATCAATCACCTGGGTCACCTGCTGAGAAAGAAAAAAGAAAGCAAGCAGAAGAGAACAAGATTAATAGAATAAACAACATCACAATGATATATGGGAATATGACAGTAAATACTAAATGTTAAACATTATTGTGCAGCACATAAGATCAACAGAACACAGTGTGCTTTGAGGTAGGAGCCAAAAAGGGTGTAGTTTGTGGGTGTGATCACCCGTGTGTACACCTGTGAGCATGGACGCGCTTGTTTTTTGTTTTTTTAAAAGGTTCCTTCATGTAATAATCTGCTAGAGGGTGTGGGGGGGCCACAGCCCCGTCCTCCAGGGCGTGAAGCAGGTGTGGAGGAGATCAAAACTCCAGACATCCAGAGGCCCCCAGAACACAAGAGACCAAGGAAGACCAACAGAGGGGCAGCTGCGCCACTGTCCCGGAAAGAGCTGAGGAGAGTCCCAGATGAGGGCTCACTCAGCAGCCGCGGAGCAGAAGCCAGGGGGAGTTGCAGTGACGCGCCCGTGAGCTCCGCCGGCAGCCAGCTGCGCCTGAGTGACCGAGCCCCAGGCCGAGAGGCCGGGGCACCCCACCTCCGAAGTGGCCCGAGCGAGCCCCAGGCTCCAGGCCCCGATAAGCGGCCGCCAAGGAGTGAGCCGGTGTGTACCTGGACGCCCATCCCCGGACACAAAGAACCACCAACGCACCGATGTCTGAGGGGTCCGCCACTGGCAGGGGAAGTGGTGGTAGGGGGAGATAGGCCTCCAAACCTTGGAGGGCCTGAGATGTCCCCAGAGAGGTGGCGCCTGACACCCAACCTGACATATAGACACAGACATACAGGCACACACAGACACAAACATCCATTCCCACCCTCATGCTCTCATATGCACTTACTCCACACTCAACCAACGTGGAGACAGACACGAAGAGACGCTGTACACACGATCACACTCCCCAAGCGTACTCTACAAACCGGGTCTAGGTGCCCCCGCCCCTGGAGGGGGGAACTGCACCCAGACCCAGGTGGTGTTTCCCTTTTCCCTGCGGTGGGGGGAGGCAGACCGCCCCGACTCCGCAGTAGCAGGAAGGCTCCACACTCCAGACCGCAGTCGGACGGCCAACTCCTCCTCCTAGCCCCCCTGCTCCAGCAGGTCGCAGAGAACGGGGGTGAGAGAAGACTCCGAACCTCCCTCCACCCGCTCATTGTAATGTTGATGCATGTGTGTTCTAAGGTGCATTTAAAACCCAGGAGGGCTTGGAGCTACCTGCCAGAGAGCAGCAGGTAAGCGCATGGTCCCTCCTGCTAGCCCTCAATGTCTACGTGTATTTAAAATTGAGAGGTGGGCAATGATGCCAGGGGTGGGGTGTACACCTATCAGGATTTCTATAGCATAAACTTAGTATAAAGACTTTTACACACTGGAAGTGTTAGGAGAAAAAAAACAACACAAAGTTCAGGATTTTTTTAATGTATATACACACACGTCACGTTTTTGCAATCCGAGACTGAAAAACTGAGATTCTGGTTTCACAAAGAGAAGACAGCAGGACGGAGTATTTCATGGTTTGAGCCCAGATTTGAAGCTGTATTGGCAGTTGGGACCACATCTGAGGAGGCAAACAGATCATTTCAGAGAGCCGATTAATCCAGAGCAGTCTCTAGCTGTGTATCGGAGGTAATGAAGTATTAATTAACTATTTCTATATCATTGTATATTCAGTACTAGAGCATGAACTACAGGTCAGTGTAAACAGCTGCATTTTTAATGCACAAAATAGTGACAAAAACTTAATGCATCCTGTGTGTAAAATTTTTTAGAGGTCTGTGTGTTCTGTGAGTAAATCAAATTGCATCATCAGTTTAAAGATAAATTCGCTAGCTGGGACCACACCCTCAGTTGAGCTGTACAATGGGTGATGGACTGTGGACTGATGCTGCGGTTTGGGGAAGGCCTCGGAGGGGACTGGCAGCAGTTCCCGGGCCAGGCAGATCCCCATGTACTTTTACATGTAAAAGAAAAGAAGATGGGGGAGGGGGGTATGAAAAGCAGGTATTGGTGAAGGGGCATATATAGACTGAAGAGCAGATGGGGCATGGATGTGGGTGTGGTCCCGCTCCTGAAATTAAGATAAAATACCCCCACTTGATGTCTGCTACCCTTTAATGTAGCTTAACACTGACCATGAACATCACAGCCTGCTCTGCACCAGTCCAGCATAGTGCATTACTGCAGTCCTTACCACAATACTGTAAACCAACCAGTTTAGTCTGCAATGAACACTACTAAACCTGCCTATTCATCAAAAATTTAGTCACACAAAATTAGTATACCTCAGCTTTTGAGATGTTTGCTAAATATAAAGCAACACATTATGTTTAGATCAAATAGAAAAAAATATCCAAAACTACAAAACAATACTTGTTGGGCTGTCCTTGCCTTTTAAAATGATTTAGTGCACCTCTTACCATGCCATCAACTGGAGGTAATGCCAGGCTTCAACACATGAAAAATTAACTGGCTTGGCAGTATCATGCATTAATCTGCCTATCAGATTTAATTGTGCATTAATTGAAGGTGTTGGAACATCATTCCAGGTCGTTCCAGCCCACTTTAACACCTAGTGTGGTCATAATTGCTGGATAAGAGGAACTTAATGGAATTCAAATTGAACCTTTAGTTGAAGAACTATAAACGTGGAGGTGGTGGCAAAAGCTGAAAACATATGTATGATAGCTCATGTTATTAAAAGATGAAAATTAAAGTGTTGTCAAGCCATTTTTCAAATGCTGAGAGGAGATGAGTCAGCTCAGATGCGCAATAAATCAAAGAAATCTATATATTTGAATTTTAGATTCCTCACTGCCACTTTGTCTGTTTGTTGTTGTTGTTGTTGTTGTTTTTTATTGTAAAATTAAACAAAATGATCAAAAATAATGAAAAGAAGAACTAGTAGCTAGAAATGTCCAGAAAATTTTAGGTTTTGGTATTATGTGCAAGTTTTGAAAAGGGATGTTGCTCCAAAGATTGTCCATGGGTTGCAAATGAAGTGTTGCATCTCAAGTGCAAACTGAATAACCATGAGTTTGTTCCAGATGCAGATAGTGGTAGATTGAAGCAGAGACACACAGCGAGATGGCAGCCAAATATGTGACCTCCAGTCCAGTGTGTTTTGCATAAAAGAACTCTTCAGTATACAGCCCAGAATTCAGAAAAGGTCTGGAGGCTTTCCAGTGGTGTATAAGATGTCTTATCTGTGGGCACAGCAGAATTCTGCAATTTGCATTCAGAAGGAAATTGCTCTAAATCTGATTTAAATTTTATTCAGACATTATGGATTAAGTGAAGCGAGCTCCAAATGAGAGCCAGGGTTTGTCTTTAAAATATTTTTAACTTTTTCATAAGAATGTAGTGGGAGCCAGTGGTGCTATGCTGCATTTGAGATTTTCTGTCATAATTCAGTTTTTTTTTTAATTCCAAAAAGATGTGTC